GGGGGCCCAAAGCCTCTTTTTTGGCTTCAGGACTTCTTTTTTTTGGGGTGCTCAAAATCTTCTATTTGGGAGGAACTCCAGACCCTAGGGTTTATTTTGGGGTGCTCAAAACCCTCTTTTGGGGGCTTTAAAACCTCTTTTTGGGAGGGGGACCCAAACCTTGTGGTTTTTTGAGCTCCCAACCCTCTTATTTTTGAGCCTCAAACTCTGTTTTGTTTAGGGGGGCCCTCAACCCCTTTTTTGGGGGGGACAGGGGGAGCAAGCCTTCTTCCTTTTCATTTTGGGGGGGTCCCAACCCCCATTTTCTTGTCCCCCAAACCCCCCACGGAGCACCAGGTCCCTCCCCCCAGCAGCCAGTGGGTTCCCATCCCCAGCTGTGGCCATGGCAGTGGGCGGGGATGTGAGGTCTGGGGTCTCCCCCTGTGCAGCTCCCCAGCTCCCCCCACTCCCCCTTTTATCCCTGTCTCCCCAGCTCCACTGGACACGTTTCCCAGGGTGCTGGTCCCACTGGATCCAGGGAAACCAAGGTGAGTCCTCTGCTGGAAACTGGGACATTGTCCCCTTTGGGGAGGACAAGGTCATCCTGAGCCTGCCTCCCCTGCTCCCCCTTCCATCCCAGATACATCCACTTCACCCCAGTCCTCTTCTTCACTTCCAAATCCACTTCACACCTCAACCCACTTCACTTCTGGGATGTGCTTGCTGCCATCCAGTGCCTCCAAAGCTTTGTGCAATCCCCCCCTCCTGCTCCATCTCTCTTTTCCCACCTCAGATGAAAACCTGGATCTGTGATTCGGGACAGAAGCTGGAAATTTTCATCCCATTTTTGGGCAAATCCCGACCCTTCACGGGACGTTGCTGCCAAACCTGCACCCCCAAGAGCTGGGTAAGAGCTCCCTTGAAAAGAGGGTTTGGGATCCCAGGATACCAACCAAGAGGAAAAACTCCATTCCAAGGGTCTGGTGGAAGGTGGGGGGGCTGTTCCCCCACCCCATCTCCCCAAGGTCTCCTTGGGAAGAGCTGATCCTGGTTTTCTCCTTCCAGGATGGTTTCTTCCACCAGCAACTTGGCTACCTTGGCTTCCGTGATGCTGCCCGGGTGGCTGAGGAGGACACACCGTGAGTTGGAGACAAACACTGGACAAAACCCCCTTTTTTTTCCCTCACCCCCTCCCAAATTTCATCCAGCTCCTCACAGAAAACCCATCTCCATCACCCTTCCTTCCTCATGAACTCCAAGGAGAATTTCATGAATCCCAGTTCCCACTGGGAACCATGTCCCCCAGCGCAGGGTGTCCCTGGCAGTTCCTCAGGAGCAGGCAGCCACAGCTTGGGGAGAGTTGTTTTTTTGGGGGGAATTTGATCCAAAATGTGGTGTCTGGAGCTTGTTGGGAATTCCTGGGAAGGGTTTTGCTTATTGGGAATTGCTGGGAAGGTTTTAGCACTGACAGGATCTCATGCACATGGCTCTGGGAGCCAAGCTGGCCCCCTGGGAGAGCCACAAGGGCCTTGTCCCCAGCCCCTTCTGCTCTTCACTGCTGCCTTTTCCTGGAGCTATTCCCGAGTCAAATCCCTGATATTTTCATCCTTTTTTGAATTCCAGAGCTGCTGAGCTTCCCCTGTTCCTCCACCCCCCCCTTTCCCTGCCCTCTCTCCACTCAGTCCCTGGTGACAGAGCAATTTCCCCTCAGTATTTTTCCAAATTCTCCTCCAGTCAGCCTGAAATATCCCAGGTCCAGCTTTCAAAACCTTTGGAATTATTCATCTCCCACTAGGGGGTGGCTGAAAACCAGCCCAGTGATGGGAGGAAAGATCAGAAGTGGGAAAATGAAGCCCTGAAGCTCCTGTGTCTCTCTCTGGCCACATCCAGCCCTTCCCCTCACGCTCCCTGGGGTTTTTTTTCCCCATTTTGGGGCTTCCTGGCTCGAATCTGGGGACAGATTTGGGAAAAATCCTCAATTTGGGACCTCCCCTGAGTGTTTCTACCCATGGCAGCTTCCTCACCCCAGCAAAATGTTCCTTGTTTCAGTATTCCCAGCTGGAAAACGGGGAGAAAAGAATGTCCCAGTTCTTGCAAACAGCAGGGTTGGGGGGGTGAGCACCCCAGAAAAGCCTGGGAATGTCACTGTGTGGCTCCTTGCCCAGGTTCCGGGGCTGGCTGGTCCGAAGGGTCTGTGCTTTCCTGATGGTTTGGAACCGGAAAGTTCCTGCTGACATCCCCAGAGACCTCCTGGAGAGGGTCTGCCAGAGCAGGAGGTAGGTGGGAGCAGCTGGAGGGGCTTGACAGGGTCACCCCCCGGCAGGACCCACCATCCCCCAGTCCTTGAAGATCCCTTTTAATCCCCCAATGTCATGGGATCCCTTTTGGTCCCCAAATCCTTTGGGGTCCCTTGGGTCTCCACGTCCCTCAGGGTCCCTTTCAATCCCCACTCCCATGGGATCCCTTTCAGTCCCTCAGTCCTACAGAATCCCTTCCTGCTTACTAATCCTATGGGATCCCTTTTGGTCCCCTAATCCTGCCTCATCCCGTTGGGTCACCAGACTGCAGGAGATTCATGCCAGCTCCTTCCTCCAGGAGCTCATCCCTGGGGAGGGGACCCCGAGAACCCCCTCAGAATGGGGCTGATGCTCCAGCTCTCCTGGCTTGGTCCTAGGACACTGTGGAGCCTCTGCTACCCCATGGCCTTGTCATCACTAATTACCCAGCAGGATACACACTAACTACTATAACAGGATGATTTAACTACCCCCGTTTCCCCCCCTGGCCCCCAGGGTGCAGGATGCTGCTGGCCTGTCCCACGGCTCCAGAGGGGACAGCAAATCCCAGCAGGGCTGGAAGGAGAAAGTCCTGGAGATCCTGGCCCAGATCCAGGCCCCGCTCTCAATCCCCACCCTGAGGTCTGTGTTCCTGCTTTGGGGGGGCTGGGGGTGCGACGCCCCATCTATGGGCATCTCTCACCTCATCCCAGGGGGATCCTGGCCCCCTCCAGGTCGCTCACCCTCTTCATTTGGGTGTTAAACCCCGCGGGGGGGTGGGGCTTGGAGTGAGGACTTGATCCCACCCCCAGGGGTATCCATGTGGATCCTTTGGGGGGATGTGCAGGGGTGGGTTCCCTTGGCAGAGGCACTGGGATTGTTTGGGAGATAGTGTTGGGATCCCTTGGGGGGTTCAGGTGGATCCTGGGGGGGATTCACTGGGATCCTGAGGGGCAGGCACTGGGATTGATTAGGAGATATGGTGGGATCCCTTGGGAGATGTGAGTGGATCATTTTGGGGGGTGCAGGTGGATCCCTGGGGGGATTAATTTGGATCCCTTGGGAGATCCAGGAGCAGCTCTGTGGGCAGCCCTCCAGGCCCCACACAGCTCCAGGAACATTCCCCAGTTCCTTCCAGGGAGCTGGGATCTGATACTGCAGGGGGAAAGGGAGGGAGGAAAAACAACCCCCCCACACCCCTGGGGGGCCCAAGGTAACTTTTCCTTTCTCATGGCAATTAAAGGCTTAATTGCTGGTTGATTGAGCTGTAATCAAAGAACCCTCCAAGCAGCCTTAAGTATTTAAAATTACCTGGAAGGATAAAAGCTTTATAATCCTTCCTGGAATGGGAGGGGGGGCAGGATTGACTCCATGAGGGGAAGGAAGGGGGGGCAGGATCCAGCCTTTAATGTTTGATCTGCATTTCTAATCAGTCTGTTTAATTGCTTGATGAGAGCATTAGGGGTCAGGCTCCTCAGCCTGGCTGGGGAAACTGAGGCAGGGCAGTGGGGGTCCTGGATGTGTCCCAGGGATGTGGGGAGCAGCTCCCCCCACAACCACCCCCGCCCAGGGTTTCTCACCATCTCCTCCTTCTCCAGGTTGTGCTGCTGGGTCCTGCTCAAGCTCCTGAACTGCCTCTTCCTCGCGGTGCAGCTCCACCGTGGGCAGCTGGAGATGGTCCTGAGGGCTGCCCGGATGGTGGGGAACCCTCCCAGCGCCCCCCCAGCCCCCATGACC